CCAATTTCTGGTAGCTACAGTACTAAGTATCATATCATGCCTACAAGTCATTATGAAAAGAAAAATGAAAGAATGCCTTTCCCTCCAGATAAAAAAAAAATTAATAAAACAATTGAGGAAAAATAGCACTAAATCTAAAATGATTTGCAAAAGAATATTATGTAATAAGTGGCTTGGAGTTAAAATACAAGGTTTCAAATTTTATTTCTTTGATTTAGCTTATGCATTTTTTCTCTTATCCTGCAAATCTTGGTTTCTAATGTCATTAACATGATTGCTTATGTTGTATTCATTTCAGAATAGCAATATCAATATTATTAGTAACAATATGGTAACTAATACAGTTTACTTTTTCTTTCTTTTTTTTGTTTATTTTACAGCTTTTCTTTATGTTATATTCTACTGGGCATATATAGTGAAATTACCCTGTTTTAAAGTAACTTGAAATAGTTTTCTGTGGTTAAGTCACTAATCTATTTACACAGTCATGTTCATTTGCTTCATTTTGGCTTCATTTATTTAGAAATAGCTTTGTCTTTTATTTCTATTTAGTTTTGTTTTATGACTTTACACAACATTTATGTAACCCCAAAGTCAAATTACAAAACAATAAAGATACTTAAGAGAAAGTCTAACTCCCAATTATCCCTCCTACACTTTAGATAATAATTTTGTTAATTTTTGGTTTATCTCTACATTTAAAAATATAAGCATACATGTGAATGTACATAAATATGTATCTACCTACCTATTTACCTCCCTTCTTTCTTAAATAAAAGGTAATAAACTACATACATTTTTTGTGCACCTTTTTTTTTTGCTTAACAAGAGCTCCTGGATATCCTTCCATAGCAGTATATAGAGATCTTCCCAATGCTTTTATATAGCTGTTCATTACATACCATACTTCATTCAACCATTTTTTTGTTCCAGGAATTCCTCAATTCTTCTGGAGATGCTGATGGTATTCTTTCTTAACATTTTTTTTATATAATACATACATAGAGAGAGAGACAGAGGGAGAGAGAGAGGAAAGTATGAAAAGAGGCATGGAGGACATCTGGAAAATTCAACATCTGCCTAAAAGGCATTTTATTATAAGAAAATATAGAAAAATAAAAAAAAGAAAATAGTCAAAGTTAAAAGAGAAATTCCCAGAGCTGAAGAAAGACTCACATTGTCAAACTGTAAAGGATCAGAGTGTATCAAACCTGGTAAATGAAAAAAAGACCCATATTTGGATGCAAACTGTTTAAATGTCAAAACTTTAAAGAAAAAGCCAAACCTTAAAGTCAAGTAAAAAAAAAATATTGTCTGTAAAAGAATAAAAATAGATTGAAATTGTATTTTTGTGGATAAAAATTTACTAATAAACCTTTGCAGTTCTTAGGTTACTACTCAGTTAAAATTGTTTTTATATATTTAGTTTCTGTTTGCATTTCCTCTCTGTGAACAGGTTTTCCTTTTGTTGACTTTTTAAATGCACTTTATGATTTTCTCATCAATTTATTGGAATTTTTATATATAAGGAAAAATTGCTAAGATTTTCTGTTGTTGCAAATATATCCCTAGTTTGTTATACACTTTTGAATTATATTATATCTAAAATTCAAGTTATATATTTATCTTTAAAAAAACACCGAGGGGCACCTGGGTGGCTCAGTCGGTTGGGCATCCAATTCTTTAGTTCAGTTCAAGTCATGATCTCAAGGTTGTGGAATTGAGCCCTGCATCAGTCTCTGAGCTGGGTGTGGAGGCTGCTTAAGACTATCTCTCTCTCTCTCCTTCTGCCCTATCCACCCCCACGCCAACTCACACTCACTCTTTCGCTCTTTCTCTAAAATAAATACATAAATAAATAATAAAAATCTAAAAAACACTCTTTTATTTTTTCTATTATTTTTGTTTAGATAAAATGTTTTCATCTAGAGACCAAATACTCATTTTTTTATTTTTATTTTAAATTTATTATGCTTTGTTTTTTAATTCAGGTTTTAAATTAATTTTCAATTTATTTTGGTGTACAGAGAATTTACTTTTCACAAACAGCCAATTTTCTCACTGAATTTAATAAACACTCATCTTTGGTTTATAGTATTTCCTTTATCATATATTAATTTCATAAAAACATGCATACAGTAAATCTATTTCTAAGCTCTCTATTTTGACCCATTAATCTATTTTTATACCAATCATTTAAATTATAGTAGCTCTATAATACAATGCAATTTCTAATATCTTATAGGACAAAGCTATAAACATCTCATATTATAATGAAAACGTGTTAAAAACACATTGTCAAATGGCACTTCTAGACCTCAGTGGTCTTAATAGGAGATTTCTATCTTAGTAACAGGCCTCTGAAACCCACTTGACTAAGATGTTTATTATCACAATGGTCACAGTAGTTAAGCCACTATTATAAAAGGATGAAAACAAAAGTGGCTTTACTTTCCAGGATGTGTGATTATATCTGGTGGAGGACTATGCAAGATATAACAAATGGTCAATGCCCCTTCACACACACCCTAATGGGATTTTCTTTTAAAAGCATTCTTTTGTGCTTCTACTCAGAAACATTGACCTCGAACTCAGTTGTCGCTTCTCTGGTTTGTTCCACTTGGAAATGAAGCTCTCACTTCGGTTTCGGGGCCATATGCCTATGCACAGACTGCCGGTAAAACTGTGGCATTCTGCCTCCAGACCCTGAAAGGCCAACGTGAAGCATCAGAGCTCACACCTGCAAGGGCAGAGGGAAGGCTGCTGCACATTTGTCATGTAACTCTGATTTTCCTGGAAACATGACATGGCATTGGGATGAATGAGATATTGATACGACATATTTATTTATTTATTTATTTATTTATTTATTTATTTATTTATTTATTTATTTTTATTTATTTATTTAAAGCTCTCCAATGATTCTGATATGCACCACAATTCTCTAGCCCTTTGCTATTCAAAAGAATCATTGAAAGACCAGTGGCATCAGCATTACCTGGGAAGTTAGGGAGAAATGCAGAGTCTCAGGCCCCGGCTCAAGTCCTGTTGAATCACACTCTGCATGTTAACAAATCTGCAGGGGATTTATGTATACATTAAGGTTTGCAAAGCACAGCTCGGTCCAACCAGTTTAGATCCCCATTCTGGGCTATATTATAGCTGTGATCGAATCATTTGGAGAGTGACTGAATTTCAATCAAGAGGGTGAATTTCAAACCAAGAGGGTGAATTTCAAATAAGGAGCCTGAGTGAAAGAAGCTAGACCCCCTCCCCCCCCAAAAAAGTACATGCTAGAGGATTCTTTTTATATAAAATTCTAAGAAATGCAAATGAATTTACAGTGACAGAACGCAGATTAATGGTTCCCTGGCAGGAGTGGGAGGTCAGAGAGAGAATCCAGAGGGAGGAATTACAAAGGGACACAAGAAATTTTTGCAGTGATGGATATGTTTATTATTTTGATTGTGAAATTGCACACCTTAAATGGGTGCAGTTTATTGGACATTAGTGTCTGTGTAAATGTGAGTGTGTGTGTGAGTGTGTGTGTGTTTACAGTTGCAAAAAACCAGGCAAGTAGTAGGCAAGAGGTAGAGAATAGAAAGAGGAAGATATAACAAAGTACTGGGGAGGAGATAAGACCAAGTACTCTCCAAATGATTCGATCACAGCTATAATATAGCCCAGAATGGGGATCTAAACTGGTTGGACCGAGCTGTGGTTTGCAAACCTTAATGTATACATAAATCCCCTGCAGATTTGTTAACATGCAGAGTGTGATTCAATAGGACTTGAGCCAGGGCCTGAGACTCTGCATTTCTCCCTAACTTCCCAGGTAATGCTGATGCCACTGGTCTTTCAATGATTCTTTTGAATAGCAAAGGGCTAGAGAATTGTGGTGCATATCAGAATCATTGGAGAGCTTTAAATAAATAAATAAATATAAATAAATAAAATTAAAAAGAAAAAACAAACACTCGATACCTGGATCTTGGCCCCAGGCCCCAGAAACTCTTATTTAATCAATCTAGAGTTCAGTCCAGGTGGAATTAGAAGTTTTTAAATCTACCCAGATGCTTCTAATGTGCAGCCAAGGTTGACACTACTCCAAAAAAGAGTGATAAAAGTCTTACCATGGAATGAGGAGGAAAGAACACTGCAAAGGTAACAGGGAGCCAGAGAAACATAATAAACCATGTCCCCAGTCAGAATCAAACGTGTCCCTGTTCCAAACATGCAAATTTACCTGAGTGTGATTTATACCTGTGTGGTCCTGCCTTTGTTGGTGATAACTTTTGCTGCTTTCATACCTGGCCTGAGAATAAGTATCAGGCTAATTACTAAGCAGGCAGATGGGGAGCGTGACCTTCCTGAGATTATAGCCACAGGGAAGAAAAGTCCTCACAGTGGAGGAAGCTGATTCGAGAGACTGGTCGGACACATACTTACCAACATATCCGCAAGGATTGTTCATTGATAGGAGACGACCCCCAGCCTGCCTCCTCCTGTCCATGATGCGCCACACACCAGGCAGGACAGACCATGCTGCATTCTTCTAATACATCCCAAACTTGTTTTAAAAATCATTTCAGTTCAGCTAGTTTTCTATTAATGTTAATAGCTTGGAAATTATTTTTTGATCTGTGTTACAGATTTGTATCTGCATCACAGAATTCTGATTCTGAAACTACCGATGTCCCAGAATCCTAAAAATGTTTAATGAGACATGTCAATTTAATTGTGCTACTTGGAACTTAAAAGGCCAGAGTTTGTCAGCATTTTGCTGACAAATGTCATCCTTTACATGCTGATCTTCGCTACCTATTAGGTTCACCATTTCTGAAATTACATATCAGGAAATGAGCTCTCTTTAGTGAAACAAAATACATTTTTTTTTTTCATTTAGTTAATTAAAATGCAGCTTAGGACCAGAACAAACTTTCGAGTATATGAAAACAGTCTGGTTTGGTAATGGTCATTATGTTTAAATTCTGACACAGAGGATGCTGTATACCTGGATGATGATAAAGAAAGAGAAGAGTATGTCCTGAATGACATCGGGGTTATTTTTTATGGAGACTTCAATGACATCAAGAGTAGAAGCTGGAGTTATGGTCAGGTGAGCCATTTAATATTTGTCATTGTCAAGGACATTTTTCCTTAATATTTTTTTGTCATATGTATCACTACAAGGTGCCATATGTCAATATTAGACATGCACAATGTCCTGCTTTTCAGAATCTGAGACTCCAAGACAGACAGCCCAGGAGTAGAGACTTAGAAAGGCAACTACATAATTTATCCACTGAAAGCACATATCTTCAGGTATTACAAGGTTACGGAGATCAGAGATTCTATGGATAACGTGGCATTCTAGTGAGAAATGCTTGGCGTCCAGTACAGTGAAATCTCATTAGCTCAGACATTGTTCTTCAACATGGAATGGACTGAAGTTTTCCCTTTCTTATAAGGAAAAGTGTTTTGATAATACTGCAAAGGATACTGCAAGGCGTGTGGTCAACTCAAATAAATCACCTTTTTTGTTAGTATAAGATACTAGAAAATTAGAAATTAGAATTAGAAAAGAATGTCACCATTTCATCAAAGGAGGGCCCACTAGACTTTTACCTTGAGACATTTTATCAACTACAATCTTATAACACACTGTCTGGGTATAAAATAGCAAATGGTATTCCATTTAAGATATTCAATAATTCACACTATTTCAGTTTGATATCTCTAACAATGGAAGAAGTGACTGATATTTCTACCATATTCCCATAAGAAGGCATGTCCTGTGGTTCAGCAAGACCCTTCATTAGCAACATGAGAAAAGTTGAGTGTGTCATTTCTCAGAATTTGGCTGAGATGACTGGAATTGTGCACCATTGTTCTGGGTATATGGGAGGGTAGATTTCATGGAACCTGGCTTCGCCAGGTCACATGATACTTTCTTGGTTTCTGATACCTTCTTTTGACTTCCATGTGAGCTTTCCCTGCATCCTTTACCCCTGCTCCAGCCTGGCCACTGGGATCAATGTCATCAATAGTTCTTGTCTTGTCTGCCTGACTTCATGACCCACTTCTTCACCCAGACTCCTGAGAATTGTGTGCCCAGTGCTGAGACTTACTCACCTACACTTCTGATGTCCTGCCAAGCTAATCATCTGTGTGCTCTTCTCCTGTTTTTGGATCCCCACCTGGCTCCTTGGTTACAAGCCCTCCCTTCCTGAGTGACATACAGCCCACGATATTGCCTATTGTCTAGTGCCTTAATTCCTAATGTTTGGGTGAGATTCTATTTATATCCCCGAAGTGACATTATGTAGAGATCAATAAGGAAAAAAGTCACCAAGGTGGGTAACAAGGAAGAGTTGGAAAGAGTCCCAAGCATGATCAGGGTATTCCTCAGCCAGCATGCTGAGTAGCCTTTGGGTAGACACCCTTGAGCACAGTCACCATCTGTCTCTGTTGTCATTCAGAGTCCATTAATTTGGGTCTTTCAGTCCAAACAACCAGCCAAGCCAGTAGTTTGCAACGATGCAGGGAAACAACTAGTTCTGTGACTGTTTCTTACCTCTCCAGTTCACTACTTCATGTCCCACAGACTGAGAAATGATGCTTAATAAGAACCAGAATAATGAGTTCTTTACATATCTGAACAACTAGTGCCCTTACTTTACAGCATGCATCCTATCAGTTTAGGATTCCCAGAAAGTTGATATTTTAACTAGATTTAATAAAGAACTACACAGTAATTAGCCGTTAAGATTGTGGTTTCTGTCACAAGTACTTGGATGGATATGCAAAGTGTTTGTATTGAGGGAAATCTCTTGTTCAGTGAGGTGCATTATAGGTGAAATTTCCCCATTTTGCCCTTGTTCCTTTCTTTAAAAAAAAAAAATTCTGGTGTTGCATGGGGCCAGTAGTTCTTTCTAAGGAAATTGAACTATAAACAGCCTCCCATGCTGCTCTCTGTACGGGATCTTGAAACATCTTTAAGAACAGAGAGATCCTGCAATGGAACTGACTTCCAGGCTGTTCCCTTGATAATGTAATCTTTCTCTAGGCCTTCCTGCCCTCTCTTTGACCCTGGAGTCTACCTTGTTCTAAAAGAGGAGAAACCTTGGACAAGCATTCATGATACGAGGTGTCCTACTGTTACCAGTGCAAGGTGTACAGGCCTGAAATACCTCCCTGTGATAACCTGAGAGCCATTTATTTTTGAGATGCACAAGCATTCGTGTTACTTTTGAGGTCTCAAGACTTTGGCCTGAGTTTGGTACATCGTTTATTCCTTTGCCTTGGGCACTAGAGCCCACATGTTGGAGAAATCTAAATTAATTTACACAATTTTCTGAAGAACTTCAAGTCAGTTCAGGATCCTTGAGTATACTAGCTCTCCAGTAGTTCTGTTTATGTTTCTAGCTTGCTTTTTAAGTTTTTATCCATCTTACTGAAAAACAAAAGAGGATGTCTTCTTCCTTCTACTTTTAACATTTCATACTAAAGATTATGGGTGATTACTATATAGGAAACACATATCCTAAACATTAGGTTGTGCTTTCATTTTGTTTTTTGGTAGGGAATATTGGGCTTGCAGAGTGGACATTAAGTAGTTTCTCTTTTATTTTTTTCATCTTTTTCATTTTATATTTCATTTTTTATTTTTTCCCAAATAGTTTGAGAATGGCATCCTTGACGCTTGCCTGTATGTGATGGACAAAGCACAAATGGACCTTTCTGGTAGAGCGAATCCCATCAAAGTCAGCCGTGTTGGGTCTGCAATGGTAAGCAACTACTGACTCCTCATGTTGATTACACATGTCATTTGCCTCATTATAGATGCCAGTTCATTAAGAGCTGTTGAAATGATGACTTAAACTTTTATTTGTAAGAGTCTTGAATTCCCTGAACTTGTCAAGTGTTATAAAACAAAATCTTATCTCAGTGCTGTATGTTTCTTTAGCTTCAGACAAATGGTGATAGATAACATGATACTATAGACCACTTATTCTTAGAATCTCTTGCCTAGGGACTGAGGAGTGACCATGACAAAATGTCAGTGACTATAATCTATCAATCAAACAAACATCAAGAAGCATCAGAAAAAGAGGAAAAAAAAGGAGCAAGACACAGCTTTTCTCCATTTTCACACCCATGTAAAAGTAAAGAAATAAATGACTCTAAATCCTAGCTTCTGTTATAATGATACCACACCATAGGGCTTTCTAGTTTATGAAAGTTAGTTTAGCCTATAGTTTGTAATTCATTCTTCACATTAACTGCATGAGATAAGTAGGGCAGATATTATGCATGCCATTTTACAAGTTAGGAAACAGGGTGATAACAGTTTGTCAGTGACAAAGCCTCAGCTAGACCCCAGGTCTGCAGACTCCCAATCTAGACATTTCCTGCCTCCCATGCGGCTCTCTATAGAAGATCCTGAAACATCTTCAAGAATGCAGAGATCCTGCAATGGAACAGCTTCTAGGAGAGGAGACAGAATTATCATGAATAGGAAGGTTGGGGGTCAGGTGGCAAAGTGGATTAAATGTGATGCCCAGGTCCTGGACTGTCCTGATAAATACAGCACATAGATCCTGCCTTTGGTGCATTAAAGCATACCAAATCCGGTTTGTGAGCAGAATATTCTTGAAGAAACATTAAGCGAGGTGTTATTTCCTGCAATCAAAGACTGAGCAAAAAAAAAAAAATCTATCTTATCAATTTCCTTAAGTTTTCCAAAAAACAAATCCTCTCTTGGGAAGAATTTTGTCTTTGAGTTTGGTTTGAGTTAAATAAAATCAATATTGTTCATGTAAACATATTAGAATGATAGTGATGTGAAATATAATTTCTGGTTAGCTTTTAAGAAGAAGGGCTGTTTTTTATTAGTACCTAAGCTACATGTAAATTTAGAAGATCATGGGCATAAAAAGAAGGCAAAGCCAATCTCTCCAGGCAGTTTTGTTTTCTATTGTTAGTTCACATTGCATAATGAAAAGATGGCAAATTCTAAAGAACTTAGGAATTTCTTTATAATAACTATTTATAACAATATATATTAGACCTGTAGGTGATCACTGCTATTCCTGTTTCCCAGACAAGATTCCCATTTTTCTTTTCCTTGGAAGTTACCATTGCAGGTTTGCAGTGAGAAGGAAGCAACAGCTCTCAGTGGTTGAATATGAACTAATGCCTTCTTGCATTCTGAAATGGCATGCTCCCCAGCCTAAGCTTACTCACACCTTGTGCATATTTTTACTAATCTAAAAATCACTGCCTAACACAAGCCAATGCAAGAGGGAAGTAAACATGAAACAGCTAACCCAATACTTTCTGTAGTGGCATCTGGCCAAGTGGAAGCCGTGGAATCTTGTGTTAAACACACAATCCTAATGCAAATTTCCTTGAGTGTTATTAGTCACAAAACACCTATGGAGTTCTAATTTTGAAAATAGATAACCCAATTATAAGATTTAGAACTCGACAGAACCTATGGGGAGGGGTGAGGATAAATGGTTTGGTTTGGGTTGGCTTTATTTTTGAAGGGAGAGGTCTTGGGCATTAGGGGACAGAGGCCCTACCCTGAGCGGTTTTTTGTTTTGTTTTGTTTTTGTTTCAAGTTTTTATTTAAATTTTAGTTAGTTAACATATAGTGTAATATTGATTTCAGGAGTAGAATTTAATGATTTGTTACTTATATATAACACCTGGTGCTCATCACATCAAGTGCCCTCCTTAATACCCATTACCCATTTAGCCCATCCCCCTCCTACCTCCTCTCCATCAACCCTCAGTTTGTTTCTCTACAGTTAAGAGTCTGTTATGGTTTGCCTCCCTCTCTTTTTTCCCCCCTTTCCCTATGTTCATCTGTTTTGTTTCTTAAATTCCACATGAGTTAAATCATATGGTATTTGTCTTTCTCTGACTGACTTATTTCCCTTAGCATAACACACTCTAGCTCCATCCATGTCATTGCAAATGGCAAGATTTCATTCTTTTAGATGGCTGAGTAATGTTTCATTGTTTATATACCACATCTTCTTTATCCATTCATCAGTCAATGAACATCTGGGCTCTTTCCATAATTTGGTTATTGTTGACAATGTTGCTGTAAACATTTGGGTACATGTGTCCCTTCGAATCAGTGTTTTTGTATCCTTTGCATAAATACCTAGTAGTACAATTGCTGGATCATAAGGTAGCTCTATTTTTAACCTTTTGAGGAACCTCTATACTATTTTCCACAGTGGCTGCACCAGTTTGCATTCCCACCAACAGTTTGAGAGTGTTCCTCTTTCTCCACATCCTCACCAACATCCGTGGTTTCCTGTATTGTTAATTTTAGCCATTCTGACAGGTATGAGATGATATCTCATTGTAGTTTTGATTTGTATTTCCCTGATGATGAGTGATATTGAGCATCTTTTCATGTGTCTATTATCCATCTAAATGTCTTCTTTGGAAAAATGTCTGTTCATGTCTTCTGCCCATTTCTTAACTAGATTATTTTGGGGGGTGTTGAGTTTGATAAGTTCTTTATAGATTTGGATACTAGCCCTTTATCAGATATGTTGTTTTCAAATATCTTCTCCCATCCTGAAGGTTTTCTTTTAATTTTGTTGATTGTTTCACCCTGGGTCGTTTTGGACGATATTTCTGTTTCTACTCCCACTATTGTTTACATCCACAAAATATATGTTTGATAGTTTCCAAAACCCTTTCATATCCATTTTCTCCTTTAATCCTTAGAAGAGCTCTATAAATCTTTTCAAAATCTATGCAGTTATAATGATTTTAGAAACTGAAAATCAATAAAAAACATGACACTTTAAAAAAAAAAAAAAGTCAACTGTTTTCTGGTCATGTAGGCAGTTCCTTTCCTGTTCACAAATTCTGGATATCTATCCTGAAATGGAGTGAAGTTAAACAGAGACTGAAAGAAAAACAAAACAAAGATCCCCCTCAAATTTCTCAAAAATTTGCCTTAAAATAGGAGAAGATGTATTTAGAAAGCCCAAAAAGAAAATGTTCTGAAGTTGCAGGAGTCTGGCCAAAACGTTGATCCCAAGGCAGAGGAACCTGTGCCTGGTTTCTCAGGGGGCTGGCCTCGTCGGCGGGAAGAACTGAGGCTGCTGCTGGGTGTTTTAGGAATTCTTCTTATGTATCTCCTCAGGCTGGTCACCAAGGCTAGAAATTCCTTTCACAGGATACCAGTACTAGGACAGCTAGACATGGTGAAATGCAAATTCTCTGGGAGGGGCAATACATTGACTTCAGTTCGATTTCCTGGGATCAACTGCTGCCACGAAGGAGTGGGAATGAGCAGCCTGAAGAGGACCCAGTAGGGACAAGAGGCAAGTGCAGATTGAGGCCCCAGAGACAAATTTGCCTACTGTGGTCATGACAAAGTCTAGCACTGAAGATTGCAGGGAATTTGCAGGGAGCTGGTGGGAGCACAATGCTGAATGAGTACAGACAATAATTCAGGTGTACAAACTTTCTAATGATAATAATAGTAATATAAATCCGGATGTTAAGTGCACAATCCCCAGATAAAAATTTTTATTGTCCAGTGTCGATGACCTTGGATAGTTCCTTGTTGTGGGGGTTGGCCTGTGCACAAAAGGATTCTAGCAGCATCCTTGGCTTCTACCCTAGAGATGATGGTAGCACCTTCCACCCTCCTGTTGTGACAACCAGGAATGGCTTCAGATATTTCCAAATGTTCCCTGGGGGTTAAGACCATCCCCAGTGAGGACCACAGCACTAAACCCCTCTGTGGTTCAGTTTCCCAGACTATGCAGTAAACATAACCCTCCTTCTTATCTGCACAGAGGATCTGTCTTCTTACCTCATTCAAAACCTGCTGGTTTTCAGGGTACCTAGGTGGCTCAGTCGGTTAAGCTTCTGCCTTCAGCTCAGGCCATGATTCTGGAATCCTGGGATCAAGCTCCACATTGGGATCCCTGCTTGGCGGGGAGTCTGCTTCTCCCTCTCCCTCTGCACCTCCCCCCGCCCCGCCACCCCCTCCCACCCCGCCGCTCATGCTCTCTCTCGCTCACTCTCTTTCTCAAATAAATAAATAAAATCTTAAAAAAAAAAAAACAAACAAACACCTGCTGGTTTTCATTTCTCTACTGAAGCAAAAGTGGAGGCAGCATCATATGGGAAGAGCTCTGGCCCATGTCAGATCAGATCCCTCAGCTCTGACTCTACCGCTAACTTACTGTGTGACTCAGGACAAATCACTCAACCTCTCCAGGACTCACTTCATCCTTAAAATAAAATTTTGTCTCTCTGCTCAAACCACATTTGTTATTCCCAGTGGTAGCACATATATCTTTTTATTCTTCAAACCAATGTTCTTCTTTCTTCTGTTTTTTCCTTTATAAATCCAGTATCTTATTTTGTCCTCATTTTGAGTTGCTGTTCCTTCACTTTGATGTGAAAACCGGAAAAGTTTATGACAATCTGGACAGCTTTGGGCTATTGGATTTTCCCAAGAGAAAGAAAGTCTAAAAATCCTGTAATCTCATTGTTGGGATATTGGGTCTGAGATGTTATAACCTTATATAAGCTGACTTTTATTTAGGCTCTTCTAAATACTGAGTGGTGCATTTTACCAAAGCCACACTGCAGACTGATTTAAGAGAGAAAAATTTTAAATAGAGGAAATCAGAAAAAAGAAGAAATTTGCCCAAAGTTGTACTTTCTCCTTTAAATTACATTGCTTGATTGTTGTTTTCTTTCTACCTCATATATGATGGGACAGTCCCCACCA